TCCTTACAAGAAACATGCTTTTCTTTTTGTTTTATTGTGCGTTTTTTTTTTTTTTTTGGTGTGTGTGTGCTTGTGTGTGTATTTACGAGCTATTCCCTTCAGCACTCATTCTTTAGTGAGTACTGACAGCTCTTCTCAGTTTACTCCAGTTAGGAGCAAGCCTCCTGATTCTAAAGAATCAAGATCATTTTATTATTAATGATTTTGCAGTTTGTACTGGGTATCTCTTAACAGAATAGATTTTTGGTGTGCTTTCACCACAAAAAAAATCACATAAAAAAATAAGAAAATATATGCCTTAATTGACTGACCCATATAAATTCTTTATTATCTATATACTTATCGAAAATATGACTATACACATCATAAATCCACAAATTACAAGCCATAGTCTTTTTCATTTTTGATGGTGTATGTATGTAGTATGTGTGAATGCATGGTGTGTGTGTTTGCATCTATGTGCCATGCACAAATATAGAAGTCAGAACAATATCTTATAATCAGATCTCTATTTCCATCTTTTCATTGGTTCTGCTGCTTGAACTCAGGTTACTAGGCTTGGGAGGCAAGTGAGTTTGTCTCAGAAATATTCTTTAATTTTTTTGCCAATTTTAAGTAACATTTTTACTAAATATTTAAAAATATATTTCTTAAATACAAATAAAAAATTTTAGTAAATATTTATTTACTTAGTGCATGCACAGTAGTAGGCCTCTGGAGGTCAGGGTACGATCAATAAGAGTTGTGACACACAACAATTGTGGAAGATGGGGAGAGAAATATTATAAGAACAAAAGGAACAGGGCGTTTGCTGTAAGACTGTTTCTCCTAGCGATGTCAGAAGCAACACACATAAAATCTCAACAACACATCTGCCTAAGCATAAACTGAACGAGAGAATGATACCAATGGATATGTCAAAGGAGAAAAGAAAAATCCCATGGGGCCTCAACCTAAACAAAGCATTATAGCAACTGAAAAATATTGAAAGTAGGAAACATAAGTCTTCTTCAGGGAAGAACACACTAATTGCTATCCAATAGCAAGTGTTCAACAGTCAAAACATACATACGAGTAACATACATGTATCTACATGTGTGTATGTATGTATGTAATAACAATTAATGAAATAGGAGGCTATGAATTAGAAAAAAGAACAAGGAGGAGTATATGGGAAGGTTTGGAAGGAGAAGAGGGAAGCAAGAAATGGTGTAATTGTATTATAATTACAAAAACTATATAGACCAAAGCACCAAATTAAATACATATATATATATATGTGTGTGTGTGTGTGTGTGTGTGTGTGTGTATAATGTCTCAATATTTGTATGTGTTTCTTATGTTATTTCTTTGGCTTTTTTCCTCCCATTTGTTTTGTCCTACACTGGTTTGTTTGTTTTTATTTTATCTTATTAAATTTTAAGATACCTGTTTGTTTTCTAGTTAGAGAAACAGAGAAAGAGTGTGGATTTTGGTGGATCTGGAGTAAGGAGGGTCTGGGAAGAATTGATAGAGGGGGAAAAAGTAAGATCTAAGTGAAACTCTACTTAAATCTTCAATTTTCTCCAGCCTGGTTTAGTAGGTTGCATTTCAAATAATAATTAATTACAAAATGAAAAGGATGCCTTAGTCAGATTCTTTTATCCCCTAATGTTTTGATTTTTTTTTGTGTGTGTGTATGTTCTTTTTTGTTTTCTTTCTTCTGTCCTTAAATTATCTAGAAGATTCGGTTCACAACAATAATCTCTGCACTCAGCATAGTTATGCCTTAAATAAGGTATAAGAATTGCCAAGACTCTGAGACCAGCCTCAGCTACATGGTGAATTACAGGGTCGCCTGGACTATAGTCTATTGTCCAGTGTTGAAAACAAACAAATAATACTATGTAACACAAATTTTGGTGGTTTTATTGCTCTCACCACATAGTGTATACAGTATTTTTACTATGGGAGTCATATCTATTATAATACATTTACAAAAATGAAAAGGGCTAATTGGTAAGTCTCAGGCTGAGAATAGTAGAAAACTGAGGCATACGATTATTTCACAATATGAATGATAGCTCAGTGCAGTCACTTAACCAACTGTACACTGTGTAAGTTATTAAACTCTCTTAATTTAAGATTGCAAATCTATGACATGATTTTGGTAAGGTATTCTCTACATCCTGTGGAAAGCATAAAATGAAATAATGTAACTGGTATAGTAACTAGCATATGCTAGAACTTTTCGATGGCTGTATTTTCCAGTCAAAGATTTTTTTCTCCCTTAAATCTCATATAAAAATAATAGAAGAGCCTCATAGGCTGGCCAGGGTACTTTTCTATCCCTACAATCAGCTCTCCCTTTCCCTCTCCCTCTGTGCATGCTTGTGTATGTGTTTTTATGTCTCTGAACCACAGTGTGTACAATGTTTTGAATAGGCATGATCCCTATAGGCTCACGTATTTGAATGCTTGGTCATTAGGGAGAGGCACTATAAAGAGACCTTGTTGGAGAAAATGTGTCACTGGGGTTGGCTTTGGGGTTTCAAATGCTTAAGCCTGGCCTGGTGATGTGGGATTCCCCTCTGTATGCTATGAATACCATTGGTGAATAAAGAAACTGTTTTGAGCCTATAGCAGAGAAGGGCAGAACAGCTAAGTGAAGAAAACTAAACTGAATGCTGGGAGAAAAAAAAGGAGGAGTTGGGGAGAAGCCATGGAGCCACTGCCAGAGACAGACATTCCAAACTTTGCTTTTAAGCCACAGCCATGTGGCAATACACAAGTTAATGGAGATAGGTTAGCTTAGGATTTAAGAGTTAGCCAGAAATATGCTTAAGCTATCAGCCAAACAGTATTGCAAATAATATGGTTTCTTTCTGATTATTTTGGGGCTGCGCAGTCAGGAACTAACTAGCAGCCTCTTAATACAGTCTGGTGTCTCTCTCTTTATGCTGCCTGCCAATCTGTATATAGAGCTTTCAATTACTTTTCCAACATCATATCTGCCTGAATGCCACCATGTTCTCTACCATGACAGCATTGGACTAAATTTCTGAACTTGTAAGCAAGCTCCAGTTAAATAATTTCCTTTATAAGAACTGCAGAGGTTACTGTGTTTCATGACAAAAATAATAATCCTAATTAAGACAGTGTTGATGGAGGAGGGTTAACTGTCTATGTGTTATTTTTATTGGTTAATAAAAAAACTGCCTTGGCTTTTGATAGGACAGTAGTTTAGATAGGTGGAGTAGACAGAACAGAATGCTGGGAGGAAGAAGGCAATGAGGCAGTCGCCATGACTCTCCTCTTTGAGACAGCTGCAGGTTAGAATCCTCCTGGTAAGCCACCACCTCGTGGTGCTACACAGATTATTAGAAATGGGTTAGATTACTATGTAAGAGTTAGCTAGCAGCCTCTTAATACAGTCTGGTGTATGTAATATGGTCTGTAATATGTAAGAGTTAGCTAATAAGAGGCTACAGATAATGGGCTAAGCAGTGTTTAAAAGAATATAGTTTCCATGTAATTATTTCAGGGGTAAAGCTAGCCAGGAGCCGGGTGGCGGGAATGCGGCCCACCACTCGTTCCTTTTACAGAGTGGTGCCCAACGTGGGGCTGACTTAACTGCCTTTAAAATTTCCTGCTTCATGGAAATGTCTGCTGGAAACCATGGGCCTGAAGGCTGAAGATGGATGCCCCAACGGTACAAAAGAACTTTGGGTGACTGTCCAGGCAGCGAGATGTCTCTGTCATTTCTAGAGTTTAAAGTTGCTTATTTCTTGTTCAATTTGGTAATATCATATCCTTCTGAATTCTTTGATGGAATTAAAGAATGGTTAGTAATAGCTTTCTTTAGTTATGATAAAAGATAAAATAGATATAAATATTGTAACTATAAATCTTGCTTGATAACTGTTTTGTTATATGCAATTTTACTATGTTAAAGTTAAAGCCTTTCTTTTTTGTTTAAACAGATAAAGGGGAAATGATGGAGGGGGGTTAACTGTCTATGTGTTACTTTCACTGGTTAATAAAGAAACTGCCTTGGTTTTTGATAGGACAGCAGCTTAGATAGGTGGAGTAGACAGAACAGAATGCTGGGAGAAAGAAGGCAATGAGGCAGTCACCATGACTCTCCTCTCCGAGACAGCTACAGGTTACAATCCTCCTGGTAAGCCACCACCTCGTGGTGCTACACAGATTATTAGAAATGGGTTAGATCAATATGTAAGAGTTAGCTAATAAGAGGCTACAGATAATGGGCCAAGCAGTGTTTAAAAGAATACAGTTTCCGTGTAATTATTTCAGGGGTAAAGCTAGCCAGGAGCCGGGTGGCAGGAATGCAGCCTGCCGCTCGTTCCTTTTACACAGTGTGTGTGTGTGTGTGTGTGTATGTGTGTGTGTGTTTGAGTGTGTGTGTGTATGTGTGTGTGTGTGTTTGAGTGTGTGTGTGTGTGTGTGTGTGTTAATGAATTTGTACATAAGAAACTTCACGAACTGGCTTATATGGATTTTGCTGTTTCTACCTGCCATCTACTGGTAGGAGTGCACGGATTACAGACATACTTGTATCCAGATTTACATGGGTTCTGAGGATACTAATTCAGGTCCTCGCTGAAAGATTTCGATACCTCGATATTAAGTCTCTCTGCTGATGAATTAAATTCCTAGGGATGAAGTTAGATCTCCCCAGGTTTGCTTGCATACATTGCCTGGGACTTTTTAGAGTGTCGTGCCTTGTCTGCTTGGTATGGATACACATTTGTTTGTAATTCTGATTATTATCACCAAGGAACCAATGTTTTAATTAATTGTAGACTATGATGTTGACATCTTCAGAATCAGGGCTCCTTCATAAGAAAACAGTACCCTCTTCTCTCTGAGATAGAAAACTAAATTGTAGCACATACTTTCCCAGGACAAGCCTGTCAACCTACAAGTTCAAACAAGTCCTATCCATGGGGTTATTTCTGGTTATTATGTGTTCCTTGGTACACATTCAGGGTCCTTACCTTGACTGCAGACCTCTCTCAGAACTCGCCAGCAGCAGGGCCTGAGCAGCAGAGGCGGTTTCCGTGCCAGGGGCACTAATACCCAGTTCCTCCCCACTCACAGGAAGAGAGGGTAAACCATATCCGCTCAGGGGCGGGCTCTGAAGAGTGACAGCAGGGATGGGTTACTATGGAAACGGACTGCAGTGGAGGAAATTTAGAGGAGAATCTGGATTCCTTACTGTACTTCCCAATGATACTAATTTTTCCCACTGCCTCCCCTTGCTTGGGCTATTTCGTGCAGAGCTGGAAACCAGAGCCTCTGAAGCCCCCACTTAACTCAAGCCTCATTCACCTCGCCATGCTTCCATCTCCGCCATACGCTACATGAACCTGCATCCCCTTCTCCCCTATTTTGCATGTCCTGCCCCAGGTTACATGAAAGTCTTCTATTTAGTGCTTAATTCTCAGCTTTCATCTATACTCCTCTGATGCCCAGGAAATCCACCCCACCCCCACCACCATGGGGTTGAGAGGGTTAATAAAGGACTCAAGGGCACAACTTCTGTCAAGCAGGTCTCAACTAGGTAGACTCGAGGTCCTGCCCCATATGCACCCAAGTCTGCCAGCTACACACATAACCCTCCCTTGCCTCAGTCCTTTAAGTGGAAGTCTAGATTTACTACACAGGTTGACAGCTTTGTCCTGGACCTCAGAGTGCTGTGTCCCACTCTTTTCCAGAGCCAAGTAATGCCTCAGGTTCAACCGCATGACTTCTGAGGTTCCTGGCATCTACTCTTCTACTGATTTTGGATCATTTGCATCAATTCACTCCCCTCAGCTCCCAAAGTAGAAGTGTCATCATGCCCCACTTAGGATCTATTTCCATCCCTCAACTTTCCAGCCACAAGCATGGCTGAGGATTTGATGTAGCTCTCTGTGGAACTATTTGTCCAGTAGAACAACTTTTACAATACTATGTAATTTATTAGGCATATTTTAAGTAACTATCACTCTCTGAACAGAATAATTTTTATGATTAAAGCCATAACTGTCAATCCAAACATCAAAAGATTTTCAATGGGAAAATGTTTTTAAAAATTAAAATTTAGTCCCAGAGAGGTGAGTGGGTGCTCGCCTGGGCAGCCTGCCTGTCCGGGAAGAGAGCACAGCCCCTTCCCCCTCAGCTTCTGCGGCAGGGTCTTTAGTGTTCCACAGGACCCCTCCTTGCCCCCACTGCTGAGGACCCTTTGTCTCCCAGGTCCTGGGAAGACCAGCTAGCCCTGTTGCACTGCTGAGGAGCTCTTCCCGGAGAGTGCTGAGGAGCTCTATCCAGAGAGTGCTGAGAAGTCCTACCCAGAGAGTGATGAGGAGTTCTATTCAGAAAGTGATGAGGAGTTTCATCCAGAGTGGAGGAGATGGACAGGCGCCAATGCAAGAATTCCTCCAACAACCTGAAAGGCAACATGACAGCTCCAGAATTCAGGGAGCTCGAAACTAGAAGAATTGAACACCCTACTCCAGAAGAAATAGAAGAAATCGACTCTAAGCAGATCTTTATGAAAATAATAGAGGAACTTAAACAGGAGGTGAAAATCTGCCGTAAAGAAATGGAAGATAAGTATAACAAAAAGATTGAGGAAATGAGTAAAGAAATGGAAGAGAAATATACCAAAAAGTTTGAAGAAATGAGTAAATCCGTAAATGAAATTCTGGGAAACCAAGAAAAAACAATCAAACAGGTAATAGAAACAGTTCAAGATTTGAAAACTGAAATGGAGTCAATGAAGAAATCACAAACCAAGGGCCGGCTGGCTATGGAAAATCTAGGTAAACGAACAGAGACTTCAGAAACAAGCATAACCAAAAGAATACAAGAGATAGAAGAAAGAATCTCAGACTCTGAGGACACCATAGAGAAATTAAACACTCTGACCAAAGAAAACAGCAAATCCAACAAATTCTCATCACAAAACATTCAGGAACTGTGGGACACAATAAAAAAACCAAATCTAAGAATAATAGGAGTAGAAGAAGGAGAAGAATTGCATTTCAAAGGTCCAGAAAATATACTCAACAAAATTATAGAAGAAAACTTTCCCATCCTAAAGAACGATATTCCTATGAAGGTTCAAGAAGCATACAGAACACTGAATAGACTGGATCAGAAAAAAAAATCCCCTCGTCATATAATAATCAAAACACAAAGCATTCAGACTAAAGAAAGGATATTGAGAGCTGCAAAGGAAAAAGGTCAAGTAACTTATAAAGGTAAACCTATCAGACTTACACCAGACTTCTCTATGGAAACCATGAAAGGCAGAAGGTCCTGGATAGCGGTACTGCAGAAACTAAGAGACCATGGATGCAAGCCCAGACTACTTTACCTAGCCAAGCTATTGTTCACTATCAACGGAGAAAACAAAATATTCCAGGATAAAAACAAATTTAAACAATATGTAGCTACTAATCCAGCCTTACAGAGAATATTAGAAAGAAAATCACAACCCAAGGAATCCAACATTCCCAACACTGCCTACATTAACTCAGACATCTAGCAACCCTTCACAAGCACAACTCAAAGAAGGAAAACACATACACTCTACTACCCAAAAAAATGACCAGAGTCATCAATCACTGGTCATTAATATCACTTAATATCGATGGACTCAACTCACCTATAAAGAGGCACAGACTTAGAGATTGGATACGAAAACAGGATCCAACAGTCTGCTATTTACAAGAAACACACCTCAACCACAAAGACAGACACCTACTCAGAGTAAAGGGTTGGGAAAAGGTTTTCCAAGCAAATGGACCTAAGAAACAAGCAGGTGTGGCCATTCTAATATCTAACAAAATCGACTTCAAACTAAAATCAATCAGAAGAGATGGAGATGGACATTTCATACTCATAACAGGAACAATTCATCAGGAAGAAGTCTCAATCTTGAATATCTATGCCCTTAATATAAAGGCACCCACATATGTAAAAGAAACTCTTCTAGAACTCAAGGCAGTCATCAAACCACACACACTAATAGTAGGAGACTTCAACACTCCTCTCTTACCAATGGACAGGTCAATCAGACAGAAACCTAACAGAGAAATAAGAGATTTATTAGAGGTATTGAATCAAATGGACTTAACAGACATCTATAGAACACTCCACTCAAATAGGAAAGAATATACCTTCTTCTCTGCAGCTTATGGAACCTTCTCGAAAATTGACCACATACTTGGTAACAAAGCAAACTTCCACAGATACAAAAAAATATTAGTAACCACCTGTGTCATGTCAGATCACCATGGATTAAAATTAGAATTCAACAACAATGGTACCCCCAGGAAACCAACAAACTCATGGAAGTTGAACAGTCAACTACTAAATCACCCCTGGGTCAAGGAAGAAATAAAGAAAGAAATTAAACTCTTCCTTGAATTTAATGAAAACAAAGACACAACGTATTCAAACCGATGGGACACTATGAAAGCAGTGCTAAGAGGAAAGTTCATAGCACTAAGTGCCCACTTAAAGAAAACGGAGAAAGCACACATTGGAGACTTAACAGCACAATTGAAAGCTCTAGAAAAAAAAGAAGCTGATTTACCCAGGAGGAGTAGAAGACTGGAAATAATCAAACTGAGGGCTGAAATCAACAAAATAGAAACACAGAAAACAATCCAAAGAATCAATGAAGCAAAAAGCTGGTTCTTGGAGAAAATCAACAAGATTGACAAACCCCTATCCAAACTAATCAAACGGCAGAGAGAGAACTTGCAAATTAATAGGATCAGAAACGAAAAGGGGGACATAACCACAGACACAGAGGAAATTCAGAGAATCATTAGATCATACTAGGAAAGTTTATATGCCAAAAAGTTGGAAAATGTAAAAGAAATGGACATTTTCTAGATAAGTACCATATACCAAAGTTGAACCAAGAACAGGTGAACAATCTAAATAGACCTGTTAGTCGTGAAGAATTAGAAGCTGTTATCAAAAATCTCCCTACCAAAAAAAGCCCAGGACCAGATGGTTTCAATGCAGAATTCTACCAGAACTTCCAGGAAGAGCTAATACCTATACTCCTTAACGTATTCCACAATATAGAAACAGAAGAGTCACTGGCAAACTCCTTTTATGAAGCTACAGTCACCCTAATACCAAAACCAAACAAAGACACAACCAAGAAAGAGAATTACAGGCCAATCTCACTCATTAACATCGATGCGAAAACTCTCAATAAAATACTGGCAAACCGAATCCAAGAACACATTAGAAAAATTATCCATTATGATCAAGTAGGCTTCATCCCAGAGATGCAGGTCTGGTTCAACATACGCAAATCTATCAATGTAATCCATCATATAAATAAACTGAAAGAAAAAAACCATATGATCATTTCATTGGATGCTGAAAAAGCATTTAACAAAATTCAACACCCATTTATGATAAAGGTGTTGGAGAGACTGGGGATACAAGGATCATACCTAAATATAATAAAAGCAATATACAGCAAGATGACAGCTAACATCAAATTGAATGGAGAGAAACTCAAAGCCTTTCCACTAAAATCAGGAACACAACAAGGCTGTCCACTCTCTCCATACCTCTTCAATATAGTGCTTGAAGTTCTAGCAATAGCAATAAGACAACATAAGGAGATCAAGGGGATTCGTACTGGAAAGGATGAAGTTAAAGTTTCGTTTTTTGCTGACGATATGATAGTGTACATAAGCGACCCCAAAAACTCTACCAAAGAACTCCTACAGCTGATGAACACCTTTAGTAACGTGGCAGGATACAAGATCAACTCCAAAAAATCAGTGGCCCTCCTATACACAAAGGATAAAGAAGCGGAGAGGGAAATCAGAGAAACATCACCTTTCATGATAGCCACAAATAGCATAAAATATCTTGGGGTTACTCTAACCAAGGAAGTGAAAGACCTATTTGACAAGAACTTTAAGCCTTTGAAAAGAGAAATTGAGGAGGATACCAGAAAATGGAAAGACTTCCCCTGCTCTTGGATTGGGAGAATCAACATAGTAAAAATGGCAATTCTACCAAAAGCAATCTATAGATTCAATGCAATCCCCATCAAAATCCCACCAAACTTCTTCACAGACCTTGAGAGAATAATAATCAAGTTTATATGGCAAAACAAAAAACCCAGGATAGCCAAAACAATCTTATACAATAAAAGAACTTCTGGAGGCATTACCATCCCTGACTTCAAACTTTATTACAGAGCTACAGTATTGAAAACAGCTTGGTATTGGCATAAGAACAGAGAAGTCGACCTATGGAATCGAATAGAAGACCCAGATACTAACCCTCAAACCTATGAACACCTAATTTTCGACAAGGGAGCTAAAGGTATACATTGGAAGAAGGATAGCATCTTTAAGAAATGGTGCTGGCATAACTGGATGTCAACCTGTAGAAAAATGAAAATAGATCCATATCTATCACCATGCACAAAACTCAAGTCCAAATGGATTAAAGACATCAACATCAATCTGCCCACTTTGAACCTGATAGAAGAGAAAGTGGGAAGTAGTCTACAAGATATAGGCACATGAGGCCACTTCCTAAGTAGGACTCCAGTAGCACAGACAATAAGAGAAACAATGAATAAATGGGACCTGCTGAAACTGAGAAGCTTCTGTAAAGCAAAGGACACTATCAGTAAGACAAAAAGGCTGCCTTCTGACTGGGAGAAGATCTTCACCAACCCCTCATCAGACAAAGGTCTGATCTCCAG